TCTGTCCTTATGTTATCTTTACTCCATTTAGGCCAAACTGTGTTCCTGATTATTTTAAAGTATAATAATCCTATCACATGTCACAAGTAAATGTTATGACAGAAACAGAGGACTAAAAAAAGAGATCATGATGGGCAATGTTTTTGATGTGTGTGTGTGTGTGTGTGTGTGTGTGTGTATTTAATTATTTATGATACACAAAGCCAGCTCTGACCAGCAGGGATCCCCTGCCCCCTGCTGAGCATGTCATTCCTGCCCTCTGGTGGGTATAGAGGCGGTACAAGGATTCCTGGTCATCTTAGGAGTTTTGTGTTACTTTTTAACATTAATAGTCTGTCCTTTAACGTTTTATTCATTGGAGAAAGCACCAGTACCTTCTGTGGTCACCGGCAGCAGCGGGGGAAGTGCGGCATCCTATTGTGGCTTGTTGACTGGGGACTGCAGGTCACAGTGGGATCCTCCCAGGAACAGGTGGTCATTCCTGAGAAGTGAAGGAGGCAGACTTGGCCATACTTTGCTCTGGTCCCCACACTGGGCCCAGCAGACAACTGCAGGTCACAGTGGGATCCTCCCAGGAACAGGTGGTCATTCCTGAGAAGCGAAGAAGGCAGACTTGACCATACTTTGCTCTGGTCCCCACACTGGGCCCAGCAGACTCCCCAGTAACCCTTGCCCTGGAACAAATCACCAAGATAGCCTTCCAAGAACTCCTGGCCAGCCTGCTCGCCCGCCTGTTATGTTCTCTCTGTGCCACGTGCAAGTCTCATATGTCTCGTGTAGGACAACTGTGGCGAATTGTCTAGTGACCCTAATCGCTGTAACCACCACTGGTCATAGACGTCGTGTTTTGAATGTTGTGTTTCTATCCCTTTACCGGGGGTCTACCTTACTGGTTTTATGCAATATTATTCTATCTTGAAGACTGCTCTTTCTGCCTACTACAGCCTCATACAGCAGATCCTGGAAAACACTTCATAGCAACACGGGTTATTGATAATTTAAAATAAATCATATGTAGCCCCCATATGCACAAAATGTGATGTTTGACCACTAGGGGGAAGTGTGAATGGAAGTTCCCAGAAAAAATTCTGATCTGCATCTTCAGCTGAACTCTCTACAAGGCTGATTCTCTAATTAAAGCTTCAATGATGGTGGAGAGTTTGGATGTTACAGGTCCAGAAACTAATTGGAATTTGTCTTGGGCTCTTTTCTGCTCTCCAAATAACCATCTCCTTGCCCACCTTTGTATCAGACACAGAATCCTGTGACACATTTAAAAAAAAAAAAAAAAAAAAAAAGCCTTTGGAAGAGATCCCCTACGCCCATCAATCAAAGGCTAAGATGCTGTCAGACAGCATCTAACACATGTAATAAAATTCTCCCTGCTTTTCTCTAATTTGTCTCTCTCATGTCTCCACCAAAGTACTTGAATAGTAACTTAACTTATGACTGTCTCTGTTCTGTTAATAGTAATTCGTGAAACGCCTATCATGTTCAAAGACAGAGTTTGGGATGGTCTAAAATCTGTGTTCCTGGGCCATAGTCATTAATATTTGGCTCCAGAATGAATTAGCCCTTGTCCCCTTTGAGATGAGTTGTGTTTTGGCATTGACCACCGAGAGCCTCCTGTTACCAAGCCTGTGTGCCACTTTGATTCCTCTCCTATTGGGCTAGGCGAGGAATCCCATGTCACCTGTCAGGCTTTTTCCTCTAGAGAAGTTCCAGGCAGCTCAGTTCCCTGCATCCTATCCACTCCCAGGAAATGGACTCTTCCCCTGTGAGCAGGAGTGCCCACCAGGAGATGTGCCATGTGTGGAGAAGGGCTGAGGGAGGCTCCATGGTCTCTGGGGCCTGCTCTGCCCTCCTCTGTGGAGAAGAGATCCCGCTCTGGCACTCCTGCCCAGTCCTGCTGCTGTGGTGTCTGCTGTCCTTCCTCTCACAGCTGAGCTTCCTCCCAGAGAAGAGCACCTTGCAGAGTCATATAGGATGTGGACAGGGTCTAGGTCACTGATACTGTGTTGTTCCTTCCCCTCATCTCTCTCACTTTTTATGGTTCAGTCTTCCAGAAAACACTTTGAGCAGCAAGGCCGATAGAGTTCCCGTCCCCTGAAAGAATAACAGCTCACCCCAAGACTGACCTCTGCTGTAGCCTGTCCTGGGTCTGTCAGCACCAAAGAAGGAGACACTCTGTTCTCTCTACCTGATAATATATTTCCTTTTATGCCACAAAACCCTGAGCTGAGCACTCAGTCTTTGTGTTCTTAATGTACTGAGAAGGTAGTATTTGCTCCCAGCAAGAAGGTGTGGCTGGAGCTTGAAGAACAGCCCAGTGATTACTGGGGAGGGGACCTATCCATTATCACTGGTCACACCCGTCCTTCCTCAGGCGGAGCCTTTCAGGGGGACCCTCCAGTTTCCTGTGCTGCCTGTATTGTGGCTCTGATCTGCCCATGTTCTACCTGACATTCCTGGGTCACCTTTGGTCTTCTGCCTAAGTAATTCCCCAGAAGGGGACTTCATATTGTCTCCTGGCAGAGAATTGTCCTCAGAGACACGAGAAAGAATAAGGAGGGACCAGTATGCCTGTGGGAGAGACCTCCAGGACTGATGGGACCCAGATGGAGACCAGGCTGCAAGATAAGTTCATGTCTCAGAGAAATAATTTTCCTAGTGTTGATTATGTGTCTCAAAGTTGCCTTCTGGAGGTCACTTGACACCTGCATCATATGTCTTGGGCAGCAGCAACGGTGGTGACCAAATACTTCACAGGCTGTGAGCATCTCCAATGGTGGAGCTGCTAGTTCGTTACCCAGGGAATGTCCCAGTGGCGTAGCTGGCTAACTTTCAGTATCTGTGTTCTTGTAGAAACTGTGGAGCAGTGGAGACGTCGATGATTTTGATTTGCATTTCCACAATAACTAATGATAATGAACTTTTTACTCCATGTGCTTATTAGCTGATTTGTACAGCATGTTTGGACGCATGTCTACTTAAGTCCCTTGTTAGGGTTAAAATTGGGTTTTTCAACATTTTGTTGCTGAGTTCTGCCAGTTCTTTAGTTTGAATGTGAAAACATAGCACAGATGACTACTAATATTTTCTTCTATTTTGTAAATAGTAATTTACTTTGTGTTTTTAATTCATAAACTTTCTACATGACTACAGCATGAAGATCAATATTCATTTACAAAAATAAATTGTTCTTTACCATAAATCCTAATAGAATTTTAAGCAAATCCATGTTTTACATTTGACGGTCTTTAAAGGGTTCCTTATCCTTCTGCTTTCTGCTTCTCAGAAGATCTTGGAGATAGATCTGCTCTGGGGACTTTTCTTAAGGTTTCAAAGGAGGGTCTGCAGCGAAAATTTATGTCTTGTGCATTCTTTAAATGTATTTTCACAGAGTTTTGTGTATTTCATATAATAGATCTTCATCAATTCCTCCCCCATTTGTGCAACCCCATAGCTCCCCCATCAGATTTCGTACATTCTATCATATATGTAAATCCTATCCAGTTAAGCATTCGTACCCAGATGTCCCTCACTGCAAATTCATTCACTGGATTCTTAGCAGCCTATTTACACTCACTCCCTTAAAGATCTCTCTCTCTCTTACCCAAAAGTAATCAGTTGCCAATAGTTCCTCAGCTAATGTTAGGGCCTACTGCCTATTTCCCTAGTTTTACACTGACATTTTGTGTGACTGAGTAGGAATGAGTCTTGTGCATGCTGTCACTGCTGTTGCAAGTTTATAAGACCTCTGTTTTGTTATGTTCATGCACCAACCCTGGCTCTTACAACCTTTCTGCCCCCTCTTCTGCAATGGTCCCTGAGCCATGGGTGGGTGAGGTTCAATACAGGAGTCCTAACCGGGGACATGCACTCTGCAGTCTCCTATTCTCTAAAACTTGGCCAGTTGTGGCCTTCTGTGTGCACTGCACTCTGTTGTATAAGGAAACTTGCTGCTAAGAGTTGAGGGATATATTAGTATTCTCCCTCCCCCTGCTCTGCTGTTTCATGATCCTTAGGTGGTGAGGTTCCACTGCAGATATATCAATACAGTAAGAAATTTTTAACTGAAACTTTTTCTTTTTTTCTTTTTTTAACTTTTACAAAAACTTTATTGAGAATTTCATACATGCACATAAGGTGTTTTGATCAAATCCATGCCCACTCTCTCCCCTCCAACATTCCCCGCCGCTGAAGAGGTAACCCTAAAATCTTTTAAGGATTAGATACAAGCTCCCAATTACTTTTGACATTTGGACATTTTTGGCCTTTGGAACAGAGTATGTTGCTAACAGGCCCAAGAACATTCTGACTTTTAGCCCAGAAACTGGCTACATTTCTTTGGGGTCTTTTTACCCTAACTGCCTAGCCAGTTCCTACCTCCTATTCTTACCACTCATCCTCTGAAGAGGTTACCCAAACTTCCAATAGGGAATAGGGAGGCAGACCGCTCTGGCTTCTTCCATGCTGAACAGGGATGCAGGGTGAGGCAGTTGGAGTACCCCTTCAATGGGTCTATCTAAAAGACTCCCAAATTGCATAACTCTTGTCTCTAAGGGGAAAAGAAAGTGCTTGAATCATGAATGGGAGATGTGAAGGAGAAGTAAAGGCAAGAGTGTCGGGAGCCATGCTTGCTTAAAGAGTGCCACTTTAAGACCTTCTGAGCTCTCTGCTTCAGTGGTTTGAGCGGACAGGCTGTGCCTCCATGATAAATCAGGTCTCTTAGAAACTTATCAGTTCGTCTTCCGGCACCGGAGTTGGTGAGGTAATGCAGCAACCTGCTGCGTCCGTAGTTACTTTCTGTTAATACAATATCCATGGTGATTCTTTTGTGATTCCTTGGTTACCCCAAATCTGATCCCTATATAAGATCTGTGTTCCTCACAACAAAAGGCCATTCTGTGATCGCTCACCTGACTGCTAAGAATTAAACTTTTTCTAATAAAATCAAGACCTTTGTCTTGACTCTTCTCTTGTTGAAGCTCCAAGCCTGGTGGGCTTGGGGGGCATTCGACAAATGGCGCCCAACGTGGGGCTCAAAGGGTCCAAGGAGGGACCCCTGGAGGAGAGACCCCAGACTCAGGTGAGTATGACAAGACACGTAAGTAAAATAAGTAATATAAAGTTGAGAAAACCTGCTTTAGAAGTGAAAGCCGAGTGCAAGTGTCACCAGGAAGCTCTGCCTAGTAGACTGCTGGTGAAATTAGAAAGTCTTCAGAAGCGTGTTGAAATGTTAGAGAAAGGTTTAGAGGCAAAACTAGTCACCAGCAATGCAGTCTCTGAGACTTCAGAGTCAGAGACTGTATAGGACTCTGCTGGTTCTGAGAGATGGGACACTGCTGTCCAGGAGAGGCAATCTGACATGGACAGACAGCTACAGCACATGCAGGAACAGATAAATGCATTGGCAAAGATAAGTTT